CTGGACTCTCTCCAGTAGCTCCTCATCTTTCTTGAACTGGGGAGCCCAGCACTGGACCCAGCACTGCAGATGGGGCCTCCCCAGGGCAGAGCAGAGGGGCAGGATAACCTCCCTCGCCCTGCTGCCCACACTCCTCTTGATTCACCCCAGGATCCCCTTGGCCTTCTTGACAACCAGGGCACACTGGTGGCTCCATGCTTGGGCAGGAGATGACAACCTGCAGTTGAGCAGGTGATAACCATGGCAGTGCCTTACTGCCTCTGAGTAAGCTTCTCCCCAAGCCAAAATTTTAACTGTTAGTCGCTTGAGGTTGAATTTATCCCCAAGCGATGCTCACCTGTGGGTCTGTGTGCCGTCCACGCAGAAGTTGGAGAGGGCCTGCAGGATGCTTGAAGTCCCTCAGCCATCTGCACAGGAACCCACCAGGGCTCAGGGCACAGACCCCAACCGTGAGGACCCTCCTGCACCACGTCCAAGATAAAACACCAAAGGTGACGTTGGCCGTCGCCTGGTTGCTCAGTGAAAGCTCTGAGTTCAGCCGCTTGCGCAAGGAGCCACGGCTTTCCCTGGTTTTCCCTCTTGCAGGAAAATGTATTAATTTTCTTTGCTATTAACATTCCAGCTGCTCCCCTTCCCTCCTTTTTTTTTTTTTTCTCCTTTTCCCCCCTTTTTTATTGTAAAAGCAGTAGAAATCAGCAAAAATATCTAACCAAATTCTTTGTCTTGGGGCTGCAGAAGATACCATGGGTAAGTCACCAGATTAGTTTAAGTACTTGCTTTGTAACTCAGTACCCGTGGAATGTCGTAATAAAGCCATGATGGTCAGAGTGTAGCTTTTTCAACAATAAAACAGGGGAAGCGATGAAAGGCAAAATTTTTTTCAAAAAGAAAGGAGGCAGCAGAGGCCTCAGAATTAATTTATGTAATATTTCTATTAAAAAAAATGTCTATTCAAGACAGCAATTTAAAGCCTGCACCGCTGGCTCAAAATATAAATCCAATAAACCTCTGTTATGATTCCTCCATTAGGTCAGTGTGATGGAATTTTGTGGACTTCTAAAATAAGACATCATTATTTTTCAGGAATGTTTCATGAATCACAGTCAAAGCCCCTTCATTTTTGCTTGTATAAATTTCAAAAATGGGGCTCTTTTATAAAATAGAGACATTTGCTGAGGCCGGCAGCCGACTTTCTGCTTGGAACAGCGTCTTTGGAGCCAAAATCCAGTTTGCGCAGCGGACGAGGCAGATGCTCCTTCATGGCTTTGTGGCTGGGATGTTGTGAGGCTGAGGCTGGCTGAGATTTGCCCGTTTCTTTGTATAATATCAATGAGAAGAGAATTGCGTTATTCCTGCAAGAGGTGCAACACCTGAGGACCATTATTTTTTTTTCATGGAGATATATGTATTTTATGCATGTATTCATTTGATAACGTGGTGTGTTTGGGTGGGGTATTTGGATGGTGCTGGGATGGAAACCAGAAAGACAATTCCCATCCCAGAAACCCTGAAACCTTCCAGGCAAAGCCTAAACCGGGGGCTGACTTGAAGAGCAGCCCTCCACGTCCTCCCCGAATTTCAGGTGGGCAGGACCGCGTTAGCACAAGAGTTAAATTCATCTCATCCCCTCTGTGGTCCTGCACTGAGGTCCTAGGAAGACCATCGCCCAAACTGGCCAAAATCCGCCCCTTGCCAAAAGATGCTGCAAATTTCTATTTGTGAGCTCTACCTCATCCTCCTACGGAGAAGCATCCTCTCTGCTGGCAGGTCCAGGTCCCTGATGATGCTGTGGCTGCAGCAGCTGGATTTGGGCTGGAAGCATCCCAAAAGCACCTTGAAACCAGGGAGCGTGGAGCTGCAGGTTGGC